CCTGTAGCATTCGTTTTGTTTAGGTAAATATGAAACACACGAGACAAATGTTAATGACTCCAAGAATTGTTTAATTATAAGAAACAGCAGGTTATCCCCTCGTCCCAACGTCGCCACTACGTCATATTTCGAAGCAAGCGTCGAGTACCGCGCTGCAGTGGTTTGGTGGTCACATTACTCATATTACAGGAAGTGAACTTTTTCTCTCAACTTTCAATATCAGATCGTACGATATCACATGTATTGTTGTGGCCACTTGTATGATACTTACATACTTAGTAAAGTATGTAAGTATCATACGCCAGCGAACGTAGGCGCCGCGCGCCGACCGTGACGGTGCACGCCGCAAAATTGGATTTGTTATAACTATAACTGTTTCATTTTTGTAATGTTCTCGTAATTACTTCAGACGATAAGGAAGAACTCATTGTGGAGTTACTCAACATGAAGGTTAATTATTTCGTTTAAGGTCTATCTTAGACGGTCTACGTCAATCTGAATGTTCCATCGTCATATCTTTCTGTATAACAAACGAGGTAGGTACTTAGATACATGCAAAGCATTGAAATCGATTACATAGACTCGTGTACCGTTGTCGCAACGACATTAGAACAAAATACAAAGCAAATAATGTAGGAAGTTGTCCCAAGGCGCTTAGAACTTAGGCAGTAATTTCAGAACCGAAGTACCTACGCATTGGACACAAGCACTACAGTTGTAGAGGATAGGTTACTAGACGTGACCATACAAAGGTCGTCTGCCCTAACACAACACGTGCAGACAAAAGTGAACTATATGCATATAGACACAAGGCACCGATGAAAACGTGAGCAACCAAGGTGAGCGACTCATGACTCCGAACTTGACATTATGACGACTACAGCGGAGATAGCTATCTAGTACATATATCTATATACGTACGTATGTTACTCGCGTCTCATGCTAAGGTTACATAGGTGTTTTAATTTATTTATGATCAGATCAAACATGAAGTTAATGTTTGTGCTAATCTTACATAGGTCACGACGTCTGTCGACATCTGACGACTAAGCAAAGCATCACAAGTTTTGCTACGACTATGATCAGAAAAAGTAACAGAATGGTCTATTTGTATACGACAATAACTGTTACAAATACTTTGACAAAGTTCTTAAAAGGATTTTTTTACTACGCATCTAGAATGGAATTGTTAATTCCATTTTATGCAGATCCTTTTTTGTTTATTTATTTACATAATACAGCAAAATATGACGCTATAAATGTAAATTCGGCAGGTGACGGTGTAACTAATGACTGATCACTGATGGACCGTAAAAAGCCGTTTATGTGGAAGCAGTAATATTTTTTCTTTACAAAAAAAAAATAACATCTTATATTTTCCTTTGACTCAAAATTCATGATCACAGTATTAATATTGAATGAGCGAATAATGTATGACTATGAATATTTGTGAATAGACAACGTAACGGTAAGCACGAACATCGGAAGTCATTAAAAAGTTGTCCAAATAGATGCGCAGGCGATGCCGTTCAATGGCCACGTACTGCCACCTCCCAGCCATTCTGTATCATGACTTGTCGATAAATATAACTGGTATCACTCTCAACAATAATACATTGACTGCTCATTACTCTGGTGATCACTTAATTCTGATGACGCAGTCAATGACTGGAAGTTCTAACGATGTTAGGAAACGACAAGATCTTGACTTGAACAAATTCATTTGCCCACAGCCACACAATGTAATGCATGTCTTTGTAAAATTTCTCCGTCTTATATTTGATCAAAGTTCTTATCAAACGGTTTATCTTGTTATTCTAAATTCTTATTTCGGGAGCGTGTGAAATAACACAAACAGATAGATAACGACGTACAAACACTACACAGCTCTGAGCCTAAACAAACTACACCACGTTTTTTCTGAAGGGTTGTTAATCATAAGGGCAAACGTAAACCGTATTTTAAACCCTCCAAAAGATTTACTTAATAAAACCAGGTAAGTTATCCAAAAATGGAAAAAATCATTGAGATAGTCTGGACATTCGATTATAAAATCTATCAACAGGCAGTAAGGTCTACAATATAGCATGATAACCACGACAACAAATCTGATTAGCGTGACTTATAAACTGTGTCAACGATTGTTCCTTAGCAAAAGTTATTTATCACAGATAAACAGCTATTATATCCGTCCTCATTAATGGCCATTATTATTATAATTCTATCGGAGGCTATTGTCCATTATAAATGAATTTTAAATTATGAAAGTGATAAACGCATTGGAAACAATAGAAGAGGTAGCGAGCTATTGGATCATCAGCTGACAGCGCTCGCGGAAGATGGAGTCACGAACACTGAGGTCATCCGTCATTTGTTATTTTCCAACCACGATTACAACACCTAGAATTGAAAGCAGTGTTATGATCCCTTTAATAGAAAAGGGAAACAGACAAAAAAAACGTATGCCGTGCCATAGATTCCAAATACTTCAATCAATTTTAACGTCTGTCAAAGAATGTTTGTGCTATAGAGCGCTAAATGGTCATCAGAACAAATTATCAAATTTGTTAAGTAATATAAAATGAAAAACAATTGAAAAAATACCACATTGGTCATTGGTAACCCACATAATTGCAAAAACACAAACAGCAACAGGCTAAAGTACCACCTCTGTTTATAGGTCACCAATAAATAAAGAAAAAACAGAAACCCGCTTAAAGATGTCATTTACTTGTAATTTTATCATCATTAGGTTACCAGTAATGGGGTAATTAATTTGATATTTGAAAAAATATTTTAATGGAAAATAAAGCAATGCGCCATGTACGTAATGTACCTATAGGATAGTTACCTATACCTACATCAGATTTTCCAAGTTCTTCTTCAACTGTAACCTTTAGTAATGTCAACGTTAGCTCGAAAGGTGAAAGTGCTGTAACAGGCAGGCCACGGGTTTTGTGAGCGTTCAGGAATACGCATTGCGACACCCCACACTGACCCACTGGAAGGGAAGCTCTGTGGGACGTTACCACCACACACAAATAAAACATAGCTTCATCTTTTACAATATTTATTGCGAAAAATTCTTAACCAAACATAAATTAACCTCTGACATGTAATATGGACAGTATACGTACCACTTGTATAGTTAACTTCTGTCATAAATATGTATATATCGTACAAATAGCTTTACTCTCAACAGGTATATATCTTATTATTTCATTCAAGGCAATTTCATATCACAATTTGTTAAGATTATGTTGAAAAACTAACTTTTGTAAAAATAGGAATTTGATAAATCAAGGCCCCTTTCAACCATAAATATGTTTAGCACGTGGCACTGATCAAAAATAGAAACAAACTTAATATTACTACTTATAAAATATTGCAACAATTAACACTATCAATCTCAGTAATTATTATTTTGATCTATGCACTAATTAATTTGACTAATTTATTTTATTATGCTAGAGGAAATGTTTCGTTTAAGTACCTAATAAATAATTTATACATTTAGTACTAGTGACGTGGTGTTGCTAGTGCTAATAAAGTATTACTAAAGTTCACATTTCACATGTTTAAGGCAACACTGCGAAGATTTTAGTAACGAACGTTATTTCCAGTGGAAAGTTTTACAAGAACTACCATTACAGGAAATTGATTGCCTCCTTTTGCAGTCGATCAATAACAGACTTCATAGACATGATCATGCCATGATGATCACTATAAGAAACCGGCGTTACTAATATCTTCGTCAGTTCAGTAGTACAAATACATAGTTACGCATATTATTCACTTAGTATTGTGCTAAATTCTAGTGTAAAATGTAAGGCACAGTCTATTTGACACTTGTAACAATGAAAGTTATTTCACTATAACATCACACTTGTAAGTACGTAGTCGGTAGTAGGTACACTGCAGCCAATGCAGGCTCATAGCTGCCGAGGGCGGGAGGCACGCGACACTAATACAATACATTTTGTCATTTCGTAAAAGGCTGAATTCGTTTAATAAATTCGAAAAATACAAAAATTCTTGGATGTATCTGATTAGTTCTACTAACTCTTTTAGATAGTAAATAGAACACATTGAATGCTGAAGAGGTACAACATACATTATACATCAGGTTGTTACTACAAGCCAACTGAGAGATTGGCCAAGTTTGCTGATTAACATTGTAGAGTACGTTAGTGACCTAGCGACATTTCTATAAAAATCGATGTAATTCTAAATAACAATAAATACAAAATACGAAGTCCAGCCATAGTAGAAAGAACACAGTAGGTTATCTAAGGCCGCCCGCCGAGTTATTAGCCTACTCTTGCGTTGATCCCCAGGGTTGTCACTTTTACTTTTAGTTAATATTTTCGAACAAGCAGCACTTGATCTAAATTTATGAAATGAAAAGCATATTATGATTGAATATTTTATCAATTTATAAATTTAGTAAAAATTAAAAGCTTATAAAATTCTTAAAATAAACTTTAGCTCTATACATAGTATTCAGAAAGTAAATTTGGGAATACATTTATATGGAAAATTGCGACTCGGCTACGCTCTTAACAAATCAGATAAACTCTGAAATAAACAATACAATACCACATTTTCTTATAATATTTAAGTATAGTAGGTAATTACATTTCTGGTTGAGTAGGAACTATGAAGAATGATAAGAGTAAGAATAAGTAAGTAGGTATCTCATCATCAAGTACCTACAAATTATATTATGCTAGAAAAAGTGACTAGCTTACCTTTCCTGTTCAATAGGTACCTAATCTGAACAGAGACAGTTCTGGAATCGATTAATTATTAAGACACCCAAACACACAGCAATACGTTCCTCTACGATTATCAGACATTTTTTATTTCATTGAACAGTGCCGAAAAGCCGTGAAGCGCGCGCAATCCTCGTACAGTGTCAGCCCTGCCTGGCGCACTGAGAAACGGGTCGAGATTTTGTTATAGTGTGCGTGCGTCGACGCATAGATACTATGGCGCACACATATAAGCCGCGCGCGGAGCATTTGTATGAAGATAACCTACTTTGTTCTTTATACTATGGTCCAGCTTCGACTAGTTCATATCCAGAGGCGGGCTGCGCAGGCGCACTGAGTGGAACACCGCGCGCCGCTCTATGGGCTACACACGTCTTAACATTATGTGAAAGAATGCTATAATCTTTGAACGATGAATAAATCATGTAACCGCGCCGCCGCGGCCGCGGCATAGTGAATGCAATAAACGAAAGTGCAACAGATAAGAGTTAATCATATTGTTCCTCGCTCGGAATGAATATTACTTTAACTAAAAGCGAAAGCCATCTTAAGTAAAATACTCTCTGTATTAATTACTTGAATAATTTCGGATGTGTTGTGAAAACTTTGCATCGACGCCACTACTTAAATGCTTACAAACTAAACCGGAAACTCGGTCTAATGGCTCATAAATGAACGAGTGCGATATCTCGACAATACTGGGAGCTGATTTCAAGGTGTTGTTCGCTTACTTCTTATGATCAATACATTTTCTCACAATTCACAAAGAACATGCGGGAGTGTCGGCGCCCGCGCACCTTGCAGGCTTTACAAGAACAGCAGTGCACGGGAAAGCGGCGCCGCGCCGAAAAAATGTATTAAGTTTTTCAGCTCACAGATTGATGTGAAACAATAGGAAGAAACCTTGTTACTCACACTTCAGAGACGAGTTCGCATCGTGTGTCGGTCGCTTTCCAAGTGCGCGAGCGCGCGAGATAATTGCTGTTACGGATAACCATCATTTGCATTGTTCGCTATCTAGAGAAAATTAATTGCTTCACAATCGATTGCCAGGGAAAGAAATCGATCAACAAATCAAGACTACAAACGCGCACTTATGAGATTTTACTGTACACGACATGTGTACTGCACCGAGCCGATTTTGAATACTAACTTCACTCACACCTGTTCTTACACCGAACCGAACAATATCCGCGCACGAACTGAAGCCACCCGGACGGTACCACTTTCGGCCTTGCATATAATTTTCACTATGCGGCAGCTGCCTCGAAACGCGACGGTGTTTAGTTGGCGTCACGCGCCCATATCAACATATTTGAACCAGTTAGCCTTTTCGAACATTTGTAACGATCCTAAGCGGCGCCAGCCTCTTGTTTTTGCTGTATGAGGGACTCCCACTTTGCTATGAGTCGCGTGGAGCTAGGCGCAAGGAACTCTTCTCCTGGGGCTAGTGTACACAGCTCCGCCAACGACTTAGCGGGCTTCAGGCTACCAATGGAGTCATGTCCTGAACTATTCCTAGGTGAGGGCGACCGCAGCTCCTCGTTCAGCGCCTCATACAGTTCGCCTATTGACTTGGTCGCCTTCAGTTTCCCAGGCATGGGAATCTCCTCGTCTTCTGACTCGGAGGTTGTCTCGTTGTCACTCAACTCTAGGTCATACGGCTTTTGCTTTTTTCTCATCTTTTTCAGCTCGTGTTCCCTGTCCTTCATTTCCTGTAATTCTTTCTGTATTTTTTCCTCTACAGGGACGTAGCCCTTTCTGACCGGCTTGCCTTCAGGCGTGCGGTCAATGACGGGAGGGGTAACCACCGGGGCGATTACCGGGGATGTAGGGAACACGAGAGGTGGCACGATTGGCGTTATAGGGGTTGTAGGAATTTGTCCTCCTGTGGGGGTTGGTAGCTTACCCTTGTTTGCGATGAATCGCTGCATAATACCTTTTGTTCCCGTTTGAGGAGTAAACCGCCTCGTGTATCCATTTGTGTTGAGGAGTGCGGGAGTAACAGGAGGCGAAGGTGCAATTGGACCCAGCAGGTGTGAGGTAGAAACGGCTCTATTGAGGCTCTTCTGCGGCTTGACTTCCGCATCGCCATTCACATGGCCGTTCTGATGGTTAACGTCGATGGTGGACTCCGACATTAGTCTGTTCATTCGAAAATGTCCCTCTTTGAATTCTCTTTCTCTCTCTGTCACCTCTATGATCTCGCGTTGGATCCTAGACAGAGGGTCTTCTTTCAGCAGTGACTGAAACAAAAATAATATTTATAAGTATTCTGACAACTACAACAATATAATTATTAGTAAAACAAAACCTATAATCATGGTTATGTACGATTTTACCAGCCTACAACAAAGTACTGAGCCGTTACTATTTAACTATTGAGGAATCAGTGTGCTCGGGTCCTGCGAGTGTTTACATGTTTCAATGAGCCTATTAATAGACGCAGTACGTACGCTATTAAGTTAGCGGTCACTATCATTATTACGCCACTTTAATAGTGACTGGTTTTTCTACATCATACTCGGTAAGTGTACCTATGTAGTTAAGTCTCAGTCGGGTTCGGCTGCGGAGCGCACCGCACTAGTGGTGGCGTACACGTCGCGCTGACCTTACAGATATCTACGATCGATATCGTTCCAGCCATGAGCCCATATCAATATTATGCAAGTACTACAGAATCGTAGCAGTTTAGCCCAATATCAAGGAATGCTTCATTACTTGTGTTAATTAAGTAATTAAATACGTACCTGGTTATCTAAATACTGTGATATTTCTAATTTATTGACAAGTATACAATAAGAATCAATATTTTATTCAAATTATTAGCTTGTCAGCTTGGAGCTGTTCACTAAAATGTAATGTAGTGATCCTGAACAGATGCAAAGATTTTACACAAAATTCACAACGTAATTTAATTAATAAAGTCTAGAGACGAGCGCACAATTTTGTAATACATTCGCACTCCTACACTCGGTGAAATAAAAAGAAAAATCGAGAAAATGTACATTCCATTGTTATATTATCTTATTAATATCTGATTATAATCGACAGATTGCATATTATATTATAGATAAAATACTTAATTTGTGAAATTTTTCTTTATCTCTGTGATATGACGAAGGTCTGACTGTTTTGCTTTTGTTGTATTCGTGGTTTCGAGTTCGACGTAAACGCTATCCGGTTAGATTTGTATCTGGTGAACCCACTAAGGTACTTCCTGGTTAGGTATAAGAATAGCCTCGTGTGTTTAACGTAAAGTTTCTATAATTATTCATTACCTGCATAAATCTATCTTGCTTATCCTTTGGGATTAGCAATTACCTAACTACCATTTAATCCAAAAGTAAGTAAACCTGATTTATTGTAATTACCTCTGACGATGATTAAATGGTTAATTATCAGGTAATTATTGGTACACATAGGTGAATTTTAAATAAATACTTAGGTGAGGTGTGTAGTTACATGTTAGGTACTAATAAATAGCTGAAAAGTCCACGTGACCAACTCTAGCGGTACTTTAGAACTTTGACCCGAGGTTAAACACATTTGAACTTGGTCTCTGACAGGCGACAACATGCAATTCATTCTGAGACACGAGGCTAATGGTAATTCCTTTATTTTTACTTGCACTGCGCACTTGGAGAGCCTTTATAAGTAGACGCATCAAACTGAAGTTTGCTCTTACACACACCATCAAATTATAATGATAAAGCGAAATGAGCAACAAGAACAAGTTGTGAAATAACTTGCTAGTTTCTTTTTATGTTAATCTGCCATAAAAGTGTAGGATTGTATGAGCCACCGTAGTGTGGCGCTGCCCGCTGCGCTGCTGTTATAGTACGCGTGGGATTCGAGATATTTACTTTTTTTGCCTGAATCAAGATGTTATTACTACTAAGTTGGTAGGTATGTCTGCGACTCGGTTGAATATTAATGAGTTGATCGCATTGTAACTTTCTTTAGTGACCTTTTTGTTGTTTTGCAAATGCAAAGTAATAAGTGATTCTTCTCTTATGTTTCTTATCTATAGATCTCGTTATTTATGTTTATGACATAGTTAGCTAATAGGTTTTAGTTTACCTACTTGTAAATAATAAATAAGCAGCAGAATAGATAATATGATAGACATTTTAACATATTCACAACATGCGTTTTTTAATTGAAAAGAGGTCAGTCAATTGCAGCCTCTGCAACGGTGTGCGATATGCTTGTTGACCTACGCATTGCCATATTCAGTTTCACTGCGCGGTCCACTCCGCCACACTGGCATCGATACATGACCAGAACACTGCAGTCGGCAGTCGAGTGCTGGATTAATACAATTATAGGTACCTGCCTGCCAATTTTTAAACTATTCTATTCATGTAATTACCTGCGGTGTCAATAGCGATATTAGCGATTGTATTTTAAAAATAGATAAGTAAGTGGGTAGGTTCATGTTATTAAGAATCGATAGATTATTACAAGACAATCGAAGCTAGCACGTAGCCCGTTAATTCCTAGAGATAAGACAATAGCCACTCATTTGTTGTTGCACGAACGTTCGATGACAATAAATATAAAACTCCGAACAATATCAATGATAGTGTATCTGAGACGCGTTATCAGATGTATAACAGTACTTGGAATACTTTTACCGATGCGAGCCGGCATTCGGCGACATGTCTCGAAGCTTTCTACCGGGCTTCGGGCTCGACATACATACCCGAACACACCATCATTGTCGAGAGTATGAAAGTGTTAATTAATCTGCCGGGAGTCGCGAGCGCCGACCCGCAACACCGCTCTGCACAACTGTACCTCGTGCCGCGGTGCCGACGAGGCGACGACCTACGAACCTACGATTACGATCTCGCAGGACTAGCCTCCCGCAGTCTCCGCCACCATCTAAACTAGAGCACGCTCGCATTCCAACCGGACAATACAAAGAGTACTTACTTCTCCCATTGTGACACTGGAAGGTATCCGACAATCCGCACAGGTATGGTAACGTCGAGCACACACGCACTGTAACACGGTCTACACCATCACGGCACCGACACCTGCCACGGTAGTAATGTTGTCGCGGGCGCGGGGCGATACGTGCAGCGCGGCGGACGGTCGCGGGCTAACGTCCTCTGTGCGAGTCCACGGCAAGTCGGCAACTCGCGAAGCCTCCGCGTATCACTCACCTGGCCGTCTAATTGGCGTGAGAGCGAGACGGCATCGCGACGTCACGCGATAGACAGAGAAGCGAATAACAACTTACAACACCTGGTGCTGTTTTACCGACATTTACTGACTGTTTCACCGGAGGAAAGTGAGGGCGCGCGTTTGAAACTTGACCGCGGATTTCCGCGCCATTGGTCGCGAGGGGCTGCGCCGGAGGGAGCTCCCCAACTGCCAACAGGCGGACAGGAAGAGGGCATTAATTAAGAAACCTGTTGATAATTCCTGTTACTCACAAACTCACAACGTTAATCAAAATATATTTATATGTACGTTAGAACTTATTAAAAAACTTGTGTCTTGTACAGTAGGTAGATCTTTTTCAAAACGCCGCGCCGGAGAAAATCCTAGAGGGGTCTTTAGGATTTTCTCGTGTGTTGTGTGTAAGTTTTTTACAAATTCACTTGACACCCAGACCGTTTTTTTTTTGAGGGGGGAAAATCATCCAATGACTTCTCCCGCCTGGGTGAGGCGGGAAGGAGTGTCAGACTCCTACTGACTAAAAACCACCCCGTTCCTACTCCTGCACTTCGAGCCTGAGCCCCGGCAACCCGTTAAGTCTTCCGCGGTGACACCCAGACCCGGAACAACATTTTTTGGATGACACCAAAAGTTGTTTGTGCTGGAATCGATTCCGTGACACGTTGCGCTGCAACAGATTGCCCAGCCACCGCGGCAACTGTGCAGTCGTACATAGTTGCTATCGACAGAGTTGCTAACTTGCTAAATAAAACTACAAGATATTAAAAATGTTTCGCTTTACTTCTTACCAATCAATGACTAGCACAGTACTCACAATTTTTAATTTCATAAATTAAGTACAATCACAGTTACACAGTGACGGATTAATCAAGCGCGGGCCTGTAGCGACATCAGTTGAGGAGCCCTCGATCTTCGTGATGTTCCTGGAAGTATTCGTCAACGGTACAAAAGTTTTTACCTACCCAATTAATTTTTAATTAGATTCAATCATTTTGTAAAAATTAAGTAGAAACAAAGTTTTTTATAAAATTTTTAAAAATGAAAAATAAGTAAGATACTATTGGATAACTCATCCTTTTGAGTTTGATCGTTACTTCCATAGACACCATATTTTTTGAGTACCTAAATTAGGTACATTACTCAAATAATATTTCGCACGGGTCCTTCTCATATAAAAAGCTATTTCTGCGACGTGGTTAATCCGGCATTGCTGTTATACTATTTCAGCCTAAAGATTATTTAAAACAAAAACATTAGGCCCAAAAATTTGGCAGTGAGTTACAAACGTAGTAACTACCTATATACTGTTTCAAAACCATTGACTTCAGAGATCTCCTAAATAGATTTGACATGGCGAAGGAAGTCGCTCGTAAGTAGGTATGTTGCGAACGGTTTGCGGGCGGCGCTTTAACTCGTCAGATGCTGGATACTATTAGATCTTTGATTTCATGCATTGCAATAATTGTAAATCGTAAATGTGGATTATTCTCGTATTTAAATCAAATTATTATATATCGATCCAAAATGTATCCAGTACTTGTTGCCACTAGAAACCAAACTATATTTCATAATTTTATGTTACATACTTACATACCAACTGCAATTACAATAAAAATATTATAAAATGAACTAATTCATTTTGTTTTATCTACAGATCTTACGTGAATACTGAGGTGAAACAATGATTTAATAAACTATGTACTAATAGATGAACTACTAAAAGTGGGTGTTACATTGTACAGTGGCAAATGTACACCTCTGCCTACCCCTTCGGGGATAAAAGGCGTGATGTTATGTTCTACTAATAGATGAGTTAATAATTTTTGTTCATTTCATAACATATCATCACGCCTTTAATCCCCGAAGGGGTAGGCAGAGATGGACATTATAGCACTTAATGCCACTGTTTTAGGCAGTAGTAGACATAGTGCAAGATGCCCTTTATCTGTATTAATTATAATGTGTGATCAAACTATTTATTATCTTGATCAAATCAACACATCTCATTATTATCATCTTGTTTTGACTCATTGACTGCCATTACAATACATTGTATAGCAAAAATTATGCAATGTCCCATTTCCTCACAAACATTCTGGCAGACTTAAATATTTTCTAATACATATTATGGCACATTTTTAGATTACTATAACTCAAATTATATAACAAAAATAAACAACAACAAGATTTAAAATATGTTTCCTGTCCAGATCATTGTGAAATCCTTAATCAAATATTTGAAATTCAACAATCAATGGTCCCAAATAACATTACCATGCTACCATGGCAAGTAATAAATTAAGTAGGTTAGGTACCTACTTCACATAATTGGGTTATGAAAAAAAAACGTATCGTCCATCAGTTAGATAATGAATAAATATTAGACACACGCTTTTTTATTTTCTCTTATAAAGTATTATACAATACTTAGATAAAATAGTTTAGAAGTGGGAGGGCGTTACGTCACGACATTTCGCAGCACGTCGTGACCTCACACGATATTTAAAATTAATATTTTCTTGTTGAAAGTATTTAACTAATTTTGTGAGAAAAGAAAAAAGATGTGTTTAATGTTTTAACAAAATCCACCAGACTACAAAAATTAAGTAAAACCAGCCCATGGCTACACAATATTATTCTGCATAATGGGTGATTCTGACAACTGAGGTTTACAAATTTGAGGATCAACTGTACGAGTAAGAGTATCCATGTGACTGACTCTGAGGTGACGAGACAGATCACTTGTTCTGAAGAATCCTCTGGAACAGTGATGGCATACATATGGTGTGTGGTGTGTATGCTGCTTTAGTAGGTGGAACTCCAGCATCATAGCAGTTGGGAATGTCTTGGTGCATTCTCCTATGGAGCACTTAAACTTTGTTGTATGTTTGAAGACAATGTGATTTGACAGACTCCTCTTACTTGCAAATCCTTGATTACAAAACTTGCAAGAGAAAGGCTTCTCCCCGGTGTGTTTGCGCATGTGACTCTCTAAGTCAGAGAATGTCTTCAAACAGACAGTGCAATGACCTGACCTCTCAGAGTGCATTCTTCTGATATGAACTTGCAGATTGCCTTTAAATGAGAATGCCATGCCACAGTAATTGCAAATGTTATTTTTTTCATTTGAGTGTATCTGCATATGAACTTTTAGAGCATTTTTAGTTTTCACCGATTTATTACACAGGTGGCAAGTGAAATTCTTCTCGTCAGAGTGTACATACTGATGTCTCTTCATGTGGCCAGGGTCTTTGAACTTCTTGAAGCAGATATTACAAGAGTATGGTTTTTCACCAGTGTGCATTCTCTTGTGGCGTATCAATGAAGCTATTTGTCGGAAAGCTTTGTCACAGAAAGGACAGGGGTAAGGCCTCTCATCAGTATGCACTCTAATGTGTGTTATGATGTCACTCTTTGTGAAGAAACTGCTGCCACAAGTTTCACAAATAAATTTTCTTTCTCTCTGTGTGTGGTGTGTTATTAAATGTCTCTTGAGAGTTCCCTTGAGGTTAAACCTTGCTCCACAGTAGTCACATGCAAAAGGCTTCTCTCCAGTATGAGTTCTCATGTGACCCTCTAAGGCTGACCGACAAGTAGCCATATGTCCACACACACTGCAACTTACTGGCCCAAGTTTAGGTTTTAACTTCCGCCGATCAATGTTTGCTTGAAACTTTTTCGACTTGATATACTTTCTTTTAACTTTATTACCATTATAGCTGTCACAGGTGTTGTCTAGTATGAAACTGTCAAAATGATCGTGATCATCATGTTCACTTTCTTCCTTAATATTTTCTAGCTTAACATGAAGTTCTAGTTCAGGCACTACTTCTTCATATATTTTAGTAAAGTTTGATCGGAAAGCCTTGTCTGAGGCTTCACATTTAATGACAAAGTCGTACGCTGCAGACAGTTCACTTGCACAGCCATCGCATATACTATCAGGAAGTCCATCACCCTCAACCACCACAACATTAACCAACCGCATCATCTTGCTGCTCAATTGCATATTAACATTTGTATCGAATAAAGGTATAGTTGCCGTTTTCATTAGACAAACTCGACACACCTTCGAATTCTCCATTTTTAATAAAGTTTGATTTAAATATTATGATACAGCTATGCGTACACGTAAATCATAAGGATTCTTATAGGTTTTTATTCAAATGAATGAATAAAATTGCACTTTTGAGCTCTAACAAACAAATGTTCTCTGACGCCTCTGCTCTGACAAGTAACAACCAATGTCTGACAGTGACACTTGTAAATGGTTCTAAATTTCTAAATGTTCTGAAACTGACAACATAATGTAGGTATGTCTTTATGTGTTTTGTTAAGTTAGAGGGCAAATAGATATAGCAGAGACATACAGAGAAGTCAATACAAGCATACAAGCGTACGCATTACTGCCAGTAATGAGTGTATAGTATAGTCTATAGTCTTTATCTTTGTCTTTGACTAGATAGGTGACACTTCAGTGACAGTCACGGATACGGGATGAGGAGATGACAGCAACAGAGTGACAGTTAACAATGGTGATTTCAACGAATGGACGAAACACCATTGGTGACAGTGACAGTTTCGGCAAAGAGTATAATAAGTATAGGGGTAAAGAGTTGCCACTCGTCAAAATTTATGCCAATCAATTTGAAACGCCATCTGAAAATTGAATCCTAGTATATTTTTTTTTTTACTAATGTCTACAGATAATCCTAAGTATAGCTAATGCCAATACTACCAACAATGCACCTTGCAGGTTGGTACATTGAAGGTAGTATTGGAATTAGCTATGTCTGGTAGCTGCAAAATCAAAGAAGTTATTAATTACAATATTACATTTATTTTACAGTAAATACAAATTAACATTTAAAAATTATCAGCTAGTAGGGAAATATCAGACGACAGATTTGTTCAAAGCATATTTCAAATTTTAGTTCTTTTTAATTTTATGTTTACAAATTTCAGATATAAATATGTCGTTCAAAATTTATTTGAATTAGTTATTTTTTTAATTGTTAATCCCACAAAGAACTAAAATTAAAAATATTTACTGTTCACCGTTGTTTACACAGTACCTAACAGTAGTTAACAATCTAATGATATAAATTAACCGTAATACCAACACAAATGTAGTACATTTTACCATCGATTTGAATCGCTTACAGTATTTACAAAAACACAAAATTATTATACAATTTACATAACATAACATACATAACATCACGCCTTTTTATCCCCGAAGGGGTAGGCAGAGGTGCACATTTCGGCACTCAATGCCACTGTACAATGTAACACCCACTTTTCACTATTTATGTTATAAGTCCCATGTAATAGGGGGTGAGCCTATTGCCATATACCGGCAGTGTTGCCAACCCCAAAAAATAAAAAAACAACAACTCACTTAAAAAAAAAACAGTAGAAAGCAGTAGGTAAAGAAAAAAGCGCTAATTTCATATTTTTGGTAATATAATTAAGTAATGAATACCTAATTGTTTAAGTGACTAGAACTCACATTCAAATGAATAGCAATCGGTTATTTCGGATTTTGTCCTTTAATAGTTGTAGTCGATGTTCTGATACGTAGGTAATTTGGTTTTCGTAATATTTATAGCAGAAAATAACCTTTCTACGACGGCACTGCTATGTGGTCTTACTGTGGTAGGCACAAAAGCTTTTTTACTATGTAAATCATGCAACGCAAGGAACGTTTGAGAGTCTCCTCCATTCTTTAATTCTTGTCCATGTTTCAAATATCGATAGTATCGGGAATTTTGTTTTGGTATAAAGAAAACAGTAGAAAATAAGAATGAAACAGAAAACATGGACATCAAAGCAAAAACAGCAAATCTACTGTTAAAACAGTAGGGTTGGTAACAGTGTATACCGGGCACATTTCCAGACTACTCTACTACTACTTATTATTATAATGTCGAAAAATATAGTGCTTAAAAATAAGTCTCAGTCTGCCTCTCAGTCAGTCTCAGTTTTTTAGTACTTTTTTTTGCTAGTTGCTAATAATGCCTGACTTAGTCGTTTCCTATATCTAGTTATATTACAGTCATTTTTACTAAACAACTACAGATTTTTCCTATCCTCAAATATAATATTTTTATAACATTATAATGAAACAAAGTAATATTATTATTATAAATACAAATGAAAATGAAACAGGCAAAATAATGTGGGAAATCCCAATTCAGACAGACTTCACAGTTGCCCACAACAGACCGGAATAAAAAACAAAACATCCAACACCACATACCTCTTTGACATAACTGTACCATGTAACTACAACATAGGAGCAAAAGAAATTCAGTAAATACCACTTTTTAAAGACACAACTCAAGGCTAGACGCCTTGAAATATTGAAACGCATGTTAATTCTATAGTAATTGGAGCCACAGGAGTAGGTACTTGCCAAAAGCCTCAGCAGATACACAGACAAACTAGAAACATAAATAGACATTAGCCACCATTCACACAATAATCATTCTTAGCAAAGTACTAGGAGACACAGTTTTCGTCACATACATTCCAGATTCCGATCAATTACAACCATCTCAAGCGCAAACACCACATACCACTCGTCAACCATCACATGAAGCTCACAATCCACATCTGGCACACAAACTACACCCAGTTAGTAGTCAAGTAGTCAGCAGAAGAGAAAGAAGGAGATTTATAAGTCAAATTTAGAAGGGGCTATGAGCATCGTTTTTCCTGCGGGTTGCGGGAAGCGGTGCCCATTTTCACCAGGTCAAGCCCAAGAAGGAGAGACCTCTACTATATGAATACAAATAAGTAAAACCTAGAATAATGCTGCCAGTCTTTTGGGCACCCTACTCCACGATAGCGATGAAAAAGAATTTTTTGATGCCCTAAGGTAACATTTTTTTTAAGGTTGAATATGTACCTATTTTAGTTTATTTATAATTTAATATTACTTTGATGTGCGTAGGTACTTAAAATGTTGTTCTAATTATGATATATACATTAATACAAAGATAAAAATAGTTTTACAAAAATAATACGGCTTTAATATTTGCAGCGATCTATGGGGTTTCTTGAGACAACAATATACGTCTGAATGTTAGAATAATTCCAAATAGTACCTGAAAAAAAACAAAGATTATTTTTACATGCAGAAATATGTATTTTATTTATTTGTTTTCTTTTATTTATCTAAGGTAGGTGTACCTTACGTGATATTACTGATGTTACAAGAATAATATAGTATTTACTCATCTCTAAAATAGGTTTCAAGCACTGCTGGTATAGATCGGCACTTTATCCGGACATCGTAAGACTCGTAACTGCCGATAAAAAATTGCACTATTGATATTCTGCAATGATGATGCTGAAGTAATATCGATGCAATAGCAATTCCAAATATCACTGTAACAAATATACAAAAGAAAAAGTAGAAATTTATAAAAACTACATAGTTTGGTATCTCAATGAATCAAATAAAATGTATAAATAGGTTCAATAGCAAAAATCATAAACTTGTTGTAGGTTTTACCTTCAGCAACATGATTGTGTTCTTCGTATTGATGTTCTTTATTATAAATAAGATATATACGCAAATTAAAGCGTTCCTTTGTAAAATCAGTCCAATGAATAGACAAACAAACACAATGTACTTTTGTGATTTGTGATACACATGTATACAAAAGGTCCTTTATAGAAAACACACACATCGCAGAACTTCCTTTTTTAGAAAAACAATCACAAAATCCCATCACAAATTATTAAATAATTTAAAATATTTTTGGCAAAAATTTTTACAATTTTGACATTTCAAATTTTTGTTTTTGTTTCTTTTCTTTATCAAGCAAAAAGTATACATATTATATGCCAGTATTAAAATAGTACAAACTACATGCATACTATTTTATAGAAATAAGGAGATAATATAAAAAGTATTTAATATCAATATCTAATTATTAACAATATTATTTTAATAGTTATTTATTATCTAAATAATTTGGAAAATTATTATTGTAATGTTTTAATATTTTTTTAGCCCCAGCGTTGCCGTAAAAAATAATAATTTGACAATCCATATAGTACAAGAGCCTATGAACCCCAGACCTTTGTTATTTACAACGGACTTAAAAAAAAGGAAAAGTTATATACCTATAAGGTTTTTTTATGTTCCTTCAGGGATGACATCGTCGTTTTTTAACGTATTTTGATGATTCTTTTTTAACCGACTTTAAAAAAGGAGTATCAGTTTGACCTAAATGTATATACATGTTACAGCCAAAGTGATTAATTTGATATTATTCGTAATGACTAGTAATTAATCAATTAATGACTAGCTATTATGAATAATATCTTCGAAAACTTGGATAAAGTAAATCAGCAAATGGAAATGAACAGGGCTGACGTCTGCACAAAATTTTGAATTTATCGTCATGGGTGTCGTTTTCATGGTTTTCGAGGGTGATAAAGCCGATGGTCCTGTCAAATTGTAAATCCTAGATGGCGTGCGCACAAAATTTTTCAATTTATCGTCATGGGTGTCCTTTCATGGTTTTCGAGGGAAATAAAACCGATGGTGTTGTCAAAATGTAAATCCAAGATGGCGTCTGCACAAAATTTTGAATATATCGTCATGGGTGTCGTTCTCATGGTTTTCGAGGGTGATAAAACCGATGGTGTTGTCAAAATGTAAATCCAAGATGGCGTCTGCACAAAATTTTGAATGTATCGTCATGGGTGTCGTTCTCATGGTTTTCGAGGGTGATAAAGCCGATGGTGCTGTCAAAATGCAAATCCAAGATGGCGTCTGCACAAAATTTTGAATGTATCGTCATGGGTGTCGTTCTCATGGTTTTCGAGGGTGATAAAGCCGATGGTGCTGTCAAAATGCAAATCCAAGATGGCGGCTGTACGAAATTTTGAATGTATCGTCATGGGTGTCGTTTTCATGGTTTTCGAGGGTGATAAAGCCGATGGTGTTGTCAAAATGTAAATCCAAGATGGCGGCTGCACGATATTTTCAATTTATCGTTATAGGTGTCGTTTTCATGGTTCTCGAGGGTGGTGAAAATGATGGTGCTGTCAAATTGTAAATCAGAGATGATGACTGAACGAAATAGAGTTAGTGCATTTATCGAGAAAGATTAAGTAAGTGTGTGAATGTGTGTGTGTGTGTGTGATAGAGAGACAGAAAGAATGCGTGCAACCTATTTTATAGATTTTCTATGAAAACTGAGTATTTTCATATAATATTAGTTTTTATATAATAAAAACGGTGGCCTAGACCTGAGGTTCACAGGCTCTTAGGTTAATGCTTTTGGATGCAGAAACCTGACGCAGTCACTTCATAGAGTTTAGTTTGTCATCCATCACTTAATATCTTTTTAATCTCTATTATTAGTAAAGAGGCTGTCATCTTTGATCGATTATGCCAGCATAACTGTCATTTGATCTAAGTTTAAGGAATTATTTTGTAAAAATTGCAATATAGTATTAAATAAATGTGTATAATGTTATTTTACTATTTCCAAAAAATATTATTTTAAGCCGAAATTTTAAAATTTTGCCACCTTGCTTGGAACTGTGTGGCCACTGAAAATATTAGTTTTGACAACATTTAATTTCAGGTTCGAAAACTAGATGTAGTTGACGGTCCGATTTTTTAAGCTGTCAATGGCTCTAAGTGTGACGGCCCTGCAGTTTCGGTTTGTTGGTGTTTCGTTGAAAATTTGTATTTCCGTGTTCAATTTTCAATGAAAATGTAATGTATGTACATTGTAATAGTTGTTTTACTTCAATATATTATATTAGCAGTGAGACACAAAATGGATGAAATGTTGTGTCGGTTATGTTGTCAGAACTATGGTACTACTCACATCTTTAGTAAAGTCAAAGACATGGTACTATGTACAAAAATAATGTATTGCTGTTCAAATTTAAATATACAAGACGGGGATGGTCTTCCATCTCATATTTGCAGCAGTTGTGATAGTGAGCTTGCATTATGTTACCAGTTTGTACTAAAATGCGAATCCTCCGACAAGAAGTTACGATCTCAATCTTTAGAAATAAACTCCCAAGTTCTATCAGACTCTTCACCAAAAATTGAAGTAAAACTAGAATGTAATAGCGACGATGACCAATATTACAATGATTTACAAAACGCTATACAATTTGAATCAGCACATAAGAAATTAGAAATTAAATTAGAATGCGCTGTTTCTAAAATATCAGCTAAACGTAAATCACCCAAACAGAAATGTAAACACAAAAGTGAGCAGTTGTGTACATGTTTAGTGTGTGGCCGTCAATGTGCTAACCCATCAACATTCAAGATCCACATGAGATCCCATACCAATGAGAAACCATATGCATGTCCTTCATGTGAGAAGTGTTACAAAGACAGGGGCACATTAAAACGACATATAGAAAGAACACATCTTTCAGAAAAACGACAACGAAACTTCATTTGTGAAAATTGTGGCAAAGGATTTTTTTCCAAGAATGATGTGAAAATACATATGCGGACACATACAGGTGAAACACCATATAGTTGTTCCGTGTGTTCACTAAGGTTCACACAGATCAGTGCATTACAGAGGCACAAAAAACGCCACACTGGTGAGAAAGATCACCTGTGTACAGCTTGTCCAAAGAGATTTTGTACCAAAGAGGAACTAAAAAATCACCTAACCGTACACACTACTGAGAAAAATTTTGCATGTCCACTTTGTAATGTGCAATTCAAGTACCAAAACAATTTGAGGAAACATGTGAGGCTGCACTCAGAACCAAACAGATTTGTGTGTAACCATTGCGGACGCACATTCAATGTGAAGGGCAATCTCAAGGTCCACATAGATAAACAACATTCTGAAAAGTCAGGCCATTGTGCCATTTGCTTGAAAAATGTACCTAACATAGAAGTGCACATGTGGAGACACAATGGCCAAAGACCTCTGAAGTGTGAACTCTGTCCCAGCAGTTTTTATGAGCAGAATGCTTTAGTCCGTCACATGAACTTTAGGCATAAGAAGACTGATAGATATAAGTGTGAAGTAGCAGACTGTCTGATGAGCTTCCCTTCAAGGCCAATGCTAGACTTCCACACAGCCAAACTCCATGGAACTCATATTCCATTCCCATGTGACAGGTGCTCACGGTCATTTTATAGAAAGAGTGATCTTGCCAGGCACAAAATTGGTACTCATAAAGAGAGATTAAGCTAAGAAGTTTTAAAACCAAGTTATTTATTCAAGTTCAACCCAATTTGTAACAATACCAAATAATATTTGTGAATATTATTATTTATTGAATGGTATCTAGTCCAAAAATTATAATATCTACAATGTAGTTAGGTTTCATGTCTAAATAATAAAATCTTGCCAAGTATATTGGTTTTTTATAGAACCTGATAATTCTAAGCAATAATTGTTCCTTCATAGAACTAAAAAGATACACAATATTAAAGGTAAGAACACAGGTGGCAGGATGCAAGAGTGAAACAAAATAAATGTTACACAATATTTATTTTTAGTGCTGATGAATATCATGATCCATGATCCAAATCAAACCGTATCACAGTCCGCTACAGATTATTAGTAACTAAAGCTCTTGAACACAGATGTGAATGAAAACATTTAACAGAACAAGAATTGAGGTATGTAGGTAGAAAGAATAAATATACTCTGTTTACTCCTGTACAATTGGCTAATATATAAACATCTGTAGACAGCACGTAAATATGCCCAAACAAAACTACTCATAACTCAATACATTTCTCTTCATAATTATAGTCAAAATCATTTCATTTTAATATTATTCTATTCTATAATATGTCAATAACACAAGTTTTGTACAAAACAATAACCCTTATAAATATAATGTGAACTAGTCAATTATTTACATGAAATCTATAAGTTTTTAAATATAGAAAAACTATTGCGTAAATAAAAATATATAAATTGCACACATTACAATCAGATTTTTGATCCAGTCAAAATATAATCGCTGAATATAAATATTCATTGCATTAAATAATAAAGTTTAAATAATAACAGTTTGCGAACTTCATAAATTATGCAAACATCAGTCAACAACATTAAATAACTAATTCACGTAAGTCCATGTCGCGCTACAAGCAGCCACATGCAACCGGTACGTACGTACATTACGCGACAACGTAAATATTCACCTAACTATATATACTATACAGCTAACTACAAATAAAACTTCGCGAAAATTAGCACCAGAGAAATTTAGGATACCATTAGTTGTATACAATCGAGTCGATGTAACCGATTACACTAGCATTATCGATAGAGAATACTTACTAAGCTAAGTATTCGGGGAGTGAAACTATGACCAAATGCGGGTGTTCTGATATAAAAAGCTATAATCCTGTCCTACCTAGCAATAATTTGTATACTTCCACGACACGGCATCGGCTTGTCGAGAGCCAGACACTCGAGTCGACGCCGAAAACCGCAATTTCTCTAGCTACTTGCGTCACTACGGGCCCCGCCCACCGCGAGCCCGGTCCAACTAAACTAAGGATTTCATAAGAAACCGTGCGTACACAGAGCGAGCGACAGCGGCCGGCGTCAGTTGATGGCCTGCTCCGTCATCTGCAGGCACAGCGCGTCCAGGCTCGAGTAGTGGTCCGCCGCCGCCGCCGCCGCGCGCGGGCCCGCGCCCCCGGCCCCGCCCGCGCCCGCGCCCGCGCCCGCCCACGCGCGCGGCCGCGCTGCCTTCGGGTGTCCCGCATGCGTCCCGATGCGCCACCTAACATCAAATTACAATTTTGTACTGACAGTATCTTTACCACCAAACCACTGCAGACAAATACCACCTGTATTTGTCCTTTACCAGTAGGATGTGAGTGGAGAATTTACTGTGTAATGTGATAATACATACCTGGGCTTGGGACATCTTCGGTTGAGAGGCATATCAGACACGTGGTGGAAGAATTGACGCGGTGGTAGGCGGTGTCGCAGCCCCTTCAGTGCTTCCTGCAGTTCTGGTCGATTGAAAGCTTCGTGGTGTAACGCCTACATCACAACAATAGATTTGAATATGTAAAAATCAGAGCAGATTTGCAAATATCCCACTGAAATGGTGACTTCTTCAATTTTATATGTAATTTACATGTTATAATCTATCATTATAATGTTAATTGAAAAAAAATTAAAAAGGTAAGGCTTAAGCGACGAACTGATGACCAAAAGTATAAATGTGATCGTTTACCTTCTCAACAAGCCAACAGTGTAACGACATCGGGTCCACGGGGGGCTCGTGGTCGCCATCCTCCGTCACCAGCTGCGACGGCACACGCACGGCGGGTTGACACGTCGCCTTATTCAGACATTTGGATGCTGGAAGTAAAATTGATAACAAACATGTGAACATGTCGCGGCGTATGTAGTACCTAGTAAGTATAGCGCGGCGGGGCGGTACCTAGATGCAGCGCGCGCACGATGGCGGCGGGCAGGTCGCAGGCGGCCGGCATGGGGCTCAGCAGCACGCCGCGCAGGCGCTCCAGCGCGCGCGCCGCCGGCGCCCCGCCGCGCAGCTCGGCCTCCACGGCCGCCAGCACCGCGCCGCGCTCCGACAGCTTCTTGATCGACAGCAATAACTTGTGCCGCGCGCCCTTCGTCACTCCTGCACACACCACTTCACATTAATCACTACTGAACACTCATACGGTCATACCTTACCTGAATTAAACAATACTGTTTACTGACAATGAGCCTTTCAAATGAACTGACATCAGCATTCTTGTGAACCCAATTACTGTTAAATTCTCTTTGAACTGATCCAAAACTGATGACAGAGTACAAATAAATATTTGTTCTGAAAAACTACAATAAACAATAATAGAATGTGCATCTCACCTAACTTCTCTAAATACTTTTCATCCATAGCCATCATCTGTTCATAACTCATATTAGTAAACAGCCATACATATTTATGCAGTCGCAGACTTTTCAGCCACTGTGCAACATTCGACATCCCCGGATGTTCACCAAAATTATGTGATCTCAGGTCATCCAGCCTTGTTTCACTGCCTGTTGTCCCATACATTATACTAATAGGCCTTATCTGACTCAAACTGTGCTCACTGGACAGAGAAAAGCTTCTAGGTTTTTGAACAAAAGGAGCATCACTTAAATTCTCGGCAGATGAAGACATGTGAATAAAATTACTTGAAGGAGGTGTCAAACTATTAGATCGTTGCGACTTTGGTTGGGATATTGTTGCATCAAAATTTAATTTTTCTCCTTCTATACTTATATCTACATCACGGCCGTTTTTAGAGAATGACTCTTGCAGTAGGTCTGGGTTATAGTGTTCTACACCATCCAAGCCTGAGATGCCTCTAAATTCGACGTTTTTACCAATGGTTCGTCTAAAACAACTGTTTGTTGTACTCCAAATGTTAGAATCTGGTATTAGGCATGGTTCTATTCTCTGTTGCCAAACACTTTCTGGTCTATTGCCAGCAATGTGGTTTTCTAAATATCTTAACCATTGTTTTAATATCCTGAAAAAAAAACATACATAATCAAATTAGATTTTAGATTATTTCAAATTCTTAATTATTACATTTAACATGATTAGATTGTAATAGTAAATAAAATTATTTAATTAAAATATTCACTATTTCGTAAATACTAAACATCAACAAAATAATGATTACCCTTCATCATGATGTGTAAGTGCAGGATGAACTAGTAGGTATGACAGCAGCTGTCGGCATTGATCGGGCACAACAGGACTACGGCGTGGAGCATCCATACAACGCTGCACTAGAGCTGGTGTAGCTGTTACGTACAGGTCTTTACAGCGCTCATTGTCCATCCTGAGCAGTGGCAGTAACCCAAGTAGGCGATGCAGGCGTTCACAACCTAATAAAAGCAATGTTTTGAGTCAATCTTACATGCAATGCAATAAATATACACATTAAATCATTGCTAGAAGACAAAGTCATAGCAGTAAAGTAGGCTTGACACATAGTAAACATGTAGGTAGGTAGTCCTCAGATTAATGTCAATGCATGCAAAAATATAATTATGAGAATCCTACACTCTTTTCCTGTACTTTTAATAATTTGAGAATATTTTACTCTGAGTCAGTGATGTACTCAAAACTCATGTAAGTATAGTGACTGTATAGGTGCCATAGGTGTTGGGTGGATCTCAGTAGTAAATGTTGTTGATGATGAAACATAACCACATAAGTAATATGTAAATGATACCTATGCTATACAAAATTCTGAAACTGAATTGTGTAGTTTAGATATTTTTTCAAATAGTAGAGATACCAAATGTTGGCTATAGAAACAGACTAATAAAAGATTTTTAGGGTAGTTGGTTAAACATTTTAAGTTATATTTTTTCTTATTGGTGTAGCAATAAGATAATATCTATACTGAATACTGCACTGGTCAAATTGTGGGAGTTTATCTTTAGGAACACTGCTATAATATACATAAAGTGATAAATTCCCATCCTCATTACAAGGAAAACTGTGACAAGAACATTTGTTATGGCAATAGTAATGGGTAGATACCGTCATCGTCGTCGCCGCTCACTGTGAGAAGATTAGCCAGGTGCACCTCGTCGTTGGCATCGCGCTCGAGCCTCTCGTCCTCGACGTGGCTCCGCAGCGCCGCCTCAACTGCTCGCTGCACCAGTTTCAGGCCTGGCCACGGGACTCGCCGTGCCAGCGTGCAGGCCAACACAGTCTGCTCGCACGCGCCCCATTGATCGAACAATCCGGCTACGCTACCGAGCTGCTCGTTAAACGTACCGTTCATCGTGAAAACAGCATATCAAACCCAAAATATTAGATTTGTTTGTGTTCTACACGTCAGTAATACGTGACAGCTGATCGTTAGAACACTATTTGACCCCTTGGTAACGAGAGGCACACGCTGAGATGATGGTGACGAATGTGGCGCTATTATATCGTTTAATAGAAACGTTAATTTAGTAATAAAATTACAGGTACATTGAAAAACATCAAGATTGTTTCGACGGTCAATCAGATTATCAAAATTCAAAATGGCCGACCATAGATAAAAAATGTATGCTAAACAAATTCTTTTTTTTTCAACCATTTCCATTCAAACTTATTTTAATTTTTATTTATTAAGAAACGTGCACTAATAAATAAATTATTAGTAAATTATATTCAACAAATATACCAAAAAGAGCTTTGAAGAGCTCTTAGGCTGCCACTATTAGACGCTAGATGTCGTTAGTCAACAATAAATAAATTGAATAATCAAGAAAGTTCATTAGAATTGTATAATTATGCTGTTCCACAAAATATTAAAGTCGTTTATTTACCACATAGTTACTTAGCTTGATAAACCGATGCATAAACGTGATGGATCATGGATGGAGTTCACCACCTCCATCTATTTATACCTACCTCCTTTAGCAAGAGAGATACCTACCTACCTTTGTCTAGCGGTGGACGGAAATGGGCTAATGATGCTGAAGCATCTACTAGCTACCTAATTATTTGTAATTACGTGTTCTACTATAAATTGATAATTTTGTACGTTTCTGTACCTACAATGTTCAATTGTTTAAAGATTGCCAAGTCAAACCAAGATATAGAATGGAGGTAGGCATGTAGGTAAGTACAGAATGGAATAGAATCATCACTGGTCAACAAAAATAAATATTTTCAAATTTTTTATGTTATCTGTTAACAAAGTTAACCAATTTGATTATTATTACGTATTTTATTGCTTTACATAAAATTAACTATTCCATTCACTATATGTTTAACAAATTAATTCAAAAGTTACAAGTTTAATCAATTCTTTACACTTTGAGTTGATACTTTAACATTCACCATAGCTGAGATATATGACAGTTTATTTCTACTAATTTTTTCGTGCAACCGATATTAAAAATGTTCTATGCATAATTCTGTCTAAATTTCAAACTGCCATAACTCAGTGATGATATAATCTAGATAATCATTTCCAAATGATATAAATAGAATAAGATTTGTACTATATATTGTGCTTATAAAAAAATGTTTAAATACAAACTTTTTTTTCTACAATGTCACGGAATAAGCAAACAATTATATAATTTCAAGAATTTTACGGTAGATTACACAAAATCTAGATGTGGTAGACATGTACACAAAGCACCGCTAATTAGTTAGCGGCGCTACACATCGACACAACTATCATTTACACAATATACATGTGTGGGTAATTTCATATCAATAGATATGTATAGAAACATTCGTCTATCACACACATCTTGGTATTTAAAAATCATTTTTGTGTCGGTATACGCAATAATTTAGTAAATAAGTTTAAATAAAAACGAGGGTAAAGATAAAATTACTCATAACAAACTTTGAATAAATCGAAATCAAAAATAATGAACGATCGAGCTATACAATACCCATATAAATATAGTGCTTTCTCATTGTAATTTTATGTTACTGAATGATATAAAATATTTCGATGATCTCATCTACAGCGCGCTTGGCGCAATGGTTATCGCCTCCAATTGTCAAGTAAAGTGCCGCCGGATCGATTCCAACATTCACATGTTGTTTTAGAATTAATTTATCAAATATTTGAAATTTGAAATTAGAAACAATTAAATCTTTTCTTTTTTTTCCTTTCCTATTGTTCTAAATCTTATGTTAATTTTAATAGTAAATACTTTAGATTTATTTATACCTATAATATCTTTTATTTATATTTTAGTTCTAGTTATTTATTATTTAGAATAATCTCATTTGCTTCATGCATTTCAACCAACTTAAATAAGATAAAAACAGTAAAAAAGTAATTAACTGTGATTTCTTAATGGTTCGATACCTGAGTATATTTGCAATGTTTGTGGCGACCATAGAAATCTCGAGTCATTTTATTTTACACGCTTATGAAGTAACTACCGACTATTTAAAACATGTTTTTCAAATCACCCGACTTACAAAATAATTGCGTTCTTAGTTGTCAATTTATGAGGATTTCATAGTTTATTGCTACACTACTTATATTCGTGTGCAAAGTTATTTTTATTTTTACAAGATGTTCCAACACCTATCAACATTTAAAAAGGCTGAAACCATTGTTTTGCATGAGCAAAACATAACTAACAATAACTGAAATAGCAAGGCGTTTAATGATATCGGTGAGTAAATAAGATACTACGTTGATATTCTAAATAATATTTATTTCATTTTGTAACTCGACACACCTATCAATTTTTGCACTAGAATAAAATAATTATTGCAACTTATTATGAAGTTCAATATTATAAAGATATATTAATAATTTATTATTAATTGTATTGTAACTTGACTTGTTTTTGTTAGGAGTGTTTCTTTAAAACATATCTGGTTAGGGATTTTTATTCCTTACGCCACTACTTAATTATAAATTATTATTCTAACATTGTGTTTACTTATATTTATTATTATTTTTAAGTAACTTTAATTCCTGTAAAGTATTTCCTGGTATTTTAAATACTTATTTGTTTGGTATCAACAGAGGAGATCCATGCAGTTATGGGTGCACAGATATGCGGAGACCGGTGACGTTAAACATCGTCGACGTGGGCCTAAACCAAAGGCAAATTCATCGGCTCGGCACTACGACATCGTAGCCAGGCACATGGCTGATCCGTTCCTGCCAACCCGCACTACAGCGACAGCACTGAATGTTTTAATACAAACTGTACGGAGACACCTGCATTCTGGTTTAAGGTGCAGGAAGCCAGAGAAGAAAATATTGTTATCTGTGGTTCACCAGCAAAAGCGCTAAGAATTTGCTAAGGACTTTATTAATTTTGATTGGGCGAACAGTGTAATCATATTGAGCGACGAAAAGACTTTCAAGTCGGATAAGGATGGGCGTAAAATATTGTGAAGAAAAGATGGAGAAAGGTATACGAATTGCAACCTTCTGCCTTGTAGGATCAGTGATTGTATTGATTTCGGAATCAATTATTGAGCCTGTCAAACTCTGCCTTTATTAAAATTAACATAAAATAATGTTTAATTTTTTTAAGAATATTAAAATGCTGTCTAGAACATACGGTGAAGTGATGTTATTGTTTTGTGGTTAGAAATTGTCATAATTTCTTTCTATTCAACATGTTTATTCACTTCACTTTAATTTTTCATTAACAAATTTATTTAACTGCTTTCGAACTTGATTGACATATTATATTTACGCCCATCTTCAATTAATTTAAAGTTTCCCTGATTCTAAAGGTCATGAAAGTTAAAATCGTTCCATAGCATTCGTCACATTCTTTTTACTATCATACAGCCCACTGAATATTGAACCTTATAACAACCGTCGTAAAATAGATAATTAATGGAAGTTCAAACGACAAAAAGTCGCCCATTTCAAGAAATATTATGTTGACAGTGTAATTTTTTACATGTTTTACTTGTTTATTACTGTAAAACTGTAATTTAACTCGTCGAGTACCGGTTTTATAGACACAATTAAAGAACAATAGGTCGCGGTCACCGGTGACCGCTTGGTGTTTGACAGTTTAATAATACATTATATTATTAAATTATAAAACAAGAATGTTGTATATTTGTTTATTACTTAATAAAAAATGTTGCTGCCATCGTATTACCGCTGTACCGCATGATATTTCCCGATTCGACTATGAGGTTTATTGTCATATCTATTAATTATGATTTAAAGAACTTTAAACTTAACATGTGGTATATAATTAATTATTAGATATAAATATTGAATATAAAACAACATATTTGTATAATAAATAAATTAATTGTAATAAAAAATAGTATTGTTTTATTTACCAACTCATTTGCTTCTTTTATAGCCTGATATTTATATTTTATGACAAAAAACAAAAAAAAAATAAAAAAAAACAAAGGTAAAATAAAATTAACTTTTAGCTGGAATAGAACCCACATCATTGATCCTTGAAAGACGATAAAAGCGTGCTCATTAACCAATCGACCACGAGCACTACGATAATGACAGTGAAAATGTCGGGTCATATCAATGATTGTAAATAGTTTTAACCTTACCTATGCATTAAATTATAAAAATACGTATACCGACACAAGAATGAAAATACCAATGTGAACGTGGTGGACGAATATTTTTATATACAGTTATATGAAATTACGCACACATGTACACTGTGTAAATGACAGTTGTGTCGATGTGTAGCGCTGCAACTAATTAGCGGTGCTTTGTGTACTTTCTTTGAAAAATGAAGTTATCTTGCTTAGTTCTATTCAAAAAGATGGTAGTTTTTCATTGTTACAAAATACTTGTCGACCAGTGATTTGCGGAATTCCATACTCCACTAACAACTGGAAACGTATCGCACACGACATGCACACACTCCTCGCTCTTGTGTTTTCGTCTTCGAGTTCGAGTGGTTTGTTGCGTGTCGTGTGACTCGTGTGTGTGGTTTCTGTGCGTCCCTGCTGCTTGTGCATTTATTTGCAGGCGGTGCTGCATACAGCATGCTGGATATTATAAGTTGTGAGTGACGTAGACAGAATAGTCGGCACGGACACGCTTCGTTATTTATTTCGTAAAATCCGAGCAAGTCAAAGTTCTTCGAAGGAGTTCCACAAGCGTAACATGCAAATTGTATAATCTGCATTGTGTTGCACTTCCAAAGAACGACCCTTTCTTTCTGGCGCTCGGAAACAATGCGATGGTTTGCAAGTTTGCAAAATAAAACTTTCATTAGAACAAAAAATATACCGTTATTTACGCCGTGTTAACAAATAGGTACAATGAAGTGCGTACCTACTCTGTAG